CCCCCCCCCCCCCCTCTGAAACCCCATTGGTTGAAACCACCATGTCAAGAAACCCTATTGGTCGAAATCCCGATCAAAAATAACCTTATAGGGCTAAGTTGCAGGCCAAAGAAATGTGATTGGCTGATTTGTTCCCCCCTCTGAAATCCCATTGGTTGAAACCGCAATGTCAAAAAACCTTATTGGTTGAAATCCCGACCAAAAATAACCTTACTGGGCCAAATTACAGAGTAAAGAAATCTGATTGGCTGATTTGCCCCCCCCCCCCCCCCTCTGAAACCCCATTGGTCGAAACCGCCTTGTCAACAAATCTTATTCGTCGAAATCCCGACCAAAAATAACCTTATTGGGCCAAATTACAGGGTAAAGTAATCTGATTGGCTGATTTGCTCCCCTCCCTGAAATCCTATTGGTTGAAACTGCAATGTCAAAAAACCCTATTGGTCGAAATGCCGACCAAAAATAACCTTATTGAGCTTTTGTTGTAAAATGAGTGGTATGAGAGGTCAAAAAAACTTTTTTTCGTTCTGTGCGAACGAACGAACGTACGAACGAAGTTACGAACATACGGAAATTGCTCGGTGTATGACCCTCCTTTCAGTAGAGGGAATAATGATCGAATGATTTCCCAATATTCATCGTCGATTATCTATATTACCCTGGTTTCCAACAAATAACACACAAGATTAAGGTTATCCATTACTGGCGAATATATCACGTATATAGAAGAGATAGAAGATAAGAAAGGGTCGTACGAAACTTTATTTCTATCTTTGATTTTATATAGCTCATCCATTGGCTCCACAAAGATTAGTTCGTCGATGTGCTGATACTTTTAAACCAGCATTCAATATTATCAATTATCATTCGACTATACCATCTTTTTTACGTGAAAAATATCATATATTCTTTGGTGATTTACTTGAACGTTTAAAAGTGGATATGACTATTATGGATTATAATTATACACGTTTAAATCAATATTTGAGAATGTTAGTTTATGAACAAATACGTGTATTACATCTTCGACTACATGAAATTCAACAAATCGATGAAAAAGAATATCCACTTACATTGAAATTCTTTTTACAATTTGATGGTATATGTTTTTTTTTGTTGATAATATTCTTGTTTTATTTTAATACATTTATTGATTGTTTATATTGTTGTAGTCAACATGTTCAATATGAAAACATATTCATTTCGTTATACTCGACCACGCACATTAAATGAAGGTCTTTTTTGTATACGAGAACCAGACGCTCGTTATGAATTAGCTGCATGTGGTAATTGTGGATTGTATTATCCTCAATATGATATGAAATATTGATCAAAAAATCAATTGTTGAATTTAGTCAAGCTCGTAAGCACACATTTCTTAATGGGTATCAAGCCATTTTAAATTGTTCAGTTGCATATTTTATTGAAATAATATATTTTTAGATGATTAACATAGAAAATATTTTTGTTTATCTAGTCATGTCATACACGAAATATTATTTATGCATTAACATGTCCATGTGGTAAACATGATTATATTGGTGTAACTACACAAAGTTTACATGATCGTCTAAGAAGTATAGATATTTGATTTTTCTTATCAATATTGAATCTATTTTCTATAGAACATCGTGAACATGGTAATCGAATTATGGATGAATGTTTATTACGAGAAGAAAATATTAAATGTAATTTACTACGAGAAAAATCAAATGAGTATAAAAAAAACAAAAATGAGAAAATTTCATTTCTTATTATGCATGTTTTTTGTTAATTTTCGAGTTTTAGCAAAACATCGTATGAAACTTTATCAACATTCGGCACGATGTCCAGTAGCTATGCAATTTTTTTTGGATGCTAATCCACAATATTGGCGATTTGTACCAATGACATTAGAAGAATCAACAAGACCTGAACAACAAATGGTTACACCATATACTTTTTCTGAAGAATTCAGTTGGACTATACGATCTAAAGAAGATACTAAAGTTTATGTTGATGCTGTTCCAAAACCACCGAAAGGATTAACTTTTTTCAATCGACAAATCATGTTACAAACACGATATTTTCATAAGACACGAGATAGAACCTTGCCAAATCAAGATATTGACGTATATGATGCCACAATTCTAGCTGTATGTAAGTTGATCATTATTATTTAAGAATAAATATGTGTGATTGAAATATTTTTTGTTTGTTTTATATTTCTACAGTACCAGAAACTTGTTCAGATATGTTTCGTTTTACTATTGAATCTTTATTCATTACTTATGCTGAAACAAATCTCAATTCAATTGGTAATGTTTTGAATGCGAATCAAAATGGTGATCATTATCCTATGAATGATCCTTGGTTGGTTCGTGGCAGTGAATGGTGTCCAGGATTATTACGTTGACCTCAACCAAAAATTACATTGAAACTATAGATTTGAAAGACGTGTATATTATTTTTTGTTTTGTTTTCTTTTTCTTTGTATAGTGTCAAAAAATACAGGAAACATAATAGATTATTTTCCATGAATAGTTTTGTTAATATTTTAGATTTAGCTTTCTTTTATGGCAAGCAAGTGACTGTTACACAATACGATCAATCAAAACGATCCTAAAATGGAACAACAATCGATAAGAATCATTGTCATATTTAAATTAATATATCTATAATTTTTGTTTATGTTTTAAGAAACATCGAGTATTATTCGATTGTTCAATGTCGACACTGTTGCATCCACCAAAACCAGTATGGTCTTCAAAACGACTTGATCAAGTACAAGAACGACGACCGATTAAAGATCCGATTTTCATCTATTTGAATCCTATGGATATAGTTCAATATAGAAGTCATGGTAGTAGTAAATGAATTGCAATTCAAAATAAAAGAAATAGAGGCCAAGAACATTAAAGTGTTTCTATTGTTTATTTTTATTTTTACTTTATTTCTATGAATATCGTTTGAATGAACTGTTAAAAACATTTTTGTTTCTATGAAACAAATCATATCTGTAAATCTTTGTTTCATGTTATAATGAGTACTTGTTATTCTTGAAACTTTTACTTATTTATATTTTAGATAATTATATCAATTTATAGATGTCTTCCTCACATCATCATCATCGAACATCGAGTACACGTCCAACAAGACGTATACAAATAGTTGCACTATTACATACACATCGATCAGCAAGTGCTCCACATCGACAATTTATTATTATTCTTACAAATAATCCTGAATTATTACGTCAAACTCGAATATTTCAACCACAGGTATAATAAAGATATTAATTTAAAGATTTTATTATATTTTCAAAAAAAGGTTTCATATATGAATATATTATATGGATAACTCATATTAAAAAGAAAGAATGATGATAAATATATTTTACTTTGATTGTTTCTAATTCCAGCAAAATATACAAACAACTACAGTTTCAGCACATAATAGTGCTACAAATCATGCAGCAGTAAATAGCAATAATCGTGAACAAATACTCAATAATCTCTTACGAGTCTAATTAAGAGAAGCAGCAAGTCATTATCTTACAAGAACTCGTCGATCACATCCTATTCATTATGTCTTTGATATATCTGACATTAATACAGAACAGTTATAATCTGAATAACCTATAACTTCATTGGTATTGTTTTTCGTTTCATTTGTTAATAGTATACGTTACTTTTTTCTTGTATTTATTTCTGCAAGTATATGTATACATGAATATTATGATCTATGAAATACAATTGTATTCAGCATTGTTCAATCTAAAAACGATAGTTCTTGTATTTTGTATTCTTGTTTTCTTTTTTCTATGTTTTTTGCATATATTATTAGAATACATTGAAATGAAGTGTGATCTAATTTATGAGATGTTGTCTACTTTAAGTAAATAGACAACAAATCAGAAACTTTCTCCTAGAATTATATCTATTTGAGTTTATTTCTTGTAGATTACCAATGATTTGTAACGGCTTCTACTTCGAATGCATCAGAATTTAATGTTGAATCAACAAACACAAGACGAAATTAACATTTCGTCATTACAATAACAAATTATCCAAACTTACTGTAACGTACACAATATTTTCAACAGTCACCAAATGAAGTAATGAAAAAAAACATCTTTCTCGACATTTCTACTGCTGTATTCTAGCGATGACAACAACGCTTGCGAGGTGGTATGTTGATACCAAATGTGCCGATTCATTTTGGAATGGCTGATACTGCAGAGCTTGAAGTGATACTATATAAAACATTACGATTCGAATTCGAAGAATCTATTCGAGCTTATCTTCAACGAACTCGAAGATCATATCCAATTAATTTGGTTTTTGATTTTTCCAACATAGATCAACAGCGATAATCGTTCCACCAATACTTATGTTCTACATGCTTCTTCTTCTTCTTGTTCTTTTTTTTGCTATAATTCTTCTCTGTGTATTTGTTACTTTTGAAGTATATAATCATGTGTAAACTGATATTATGCATTCAAAATATTAGGTTGAGGAAAAAGTTCGTGCGCCGTGTTAAAATAATGATTTTTTATGCATGAATTTATTCAAAAACAACAACAACTATTCTTCAAAATAAAGACCATCATTGTCCACGACCTTCTGCCAACGATCTGCAAGCTTTCGGATTTGGTCAAAGTACCACTCCTTCGGCTTTGAATCGAAAAATTCTTGACATGCTTCTTCAACTTCATCGAAGGACTCAAATCGGCGACCTTTCATAAAGTGCTGCATTGATCGGAACAGACCGTAGTCAGATGGAGCAACGTCTGGACTATAGGCTGGATGCAGCAGAACTTCGACACCGTCCAATTCTTCAAACTTCTTGCTGGTGTTTCTGGCGGTATGCGGCTTTGCATTGTCTTGTTGAAACAAAGCGCGTTTTCGACGAACAAGACTTGGGTACTTATCAACCAGTGCATCGTAGACTCGATCAAGTTACTCGCAGTAAAGTTCAGCGTTGATGGCGTCACCATTCGGCACAAGTTCAAAATGCAAGATTCTTTCGAAGTTCCACCAAACGCAAATCATGATCTTCTTTCCAAATTGATTTTGCTTCGGAACGGATGGAGGAGTTTGACCTTTTGGGACCCAACGCTTGCTTCGATCGTGATTGACCAGGTAGACCCACTTCTCGTCTGATGTCACAATTCGCTTCCAAAAACGGTCATCCAACGGATTGTTGAGCAATTGGCGGCAAATTTCGGCTCGTTTGGCGGCTTGTGCTTCGGTCAACTCGTGTGAATCTTGTCGTGGCTTTTTGTGGACAAAGTCAAGTTGCTTGAGATGATTCCAAACTGTCTTCTGATCGACACCAAGTTCTTCAGCCAATTCGCGTGTGCTTGATGACGGCTCAACATCCAAAGCGGCTTGCAAGTCCCTTCGTCCAAAACCGTTGGTCGTCCGGAACGTGGCCTGTCGTCAAGATCAAAATCGCCTTCATTGAAACGCTTGAACCATTTCTGTGCAGTTCGCGGTGTCACCGTACCTTCACCATCAACGTCGCAAATTGCTTTAGCAGCTGCTTTTGCATCCAAATTCTTTCTCCAATAATGACGCAGCAATACGCGAAGCTCAAAATTTGTGATTTCGTAATCAGACATCTTAAAAAACCAATAAATTTTCGTAATAGCCACAAAACCAGATCAAAAACACAAAAAAAAATATATATAAAAAATCATTATTTTAACTGTCACGTCTTCAGGCCGAGATTGATGTCGAGCAGAAGAATAACACGATTCAGAAGAGCCGGTTTATTTACAAGTGAACGCTGGGTGACAGATTGGGAAAATGACAGTGACAAACAGAAAACACCGGTATATATAGTATGAAAATTGCGCAATAACATCACGCAATAACATTACGCAATAACATGTCAAATGTCCGGGTAGAGTGCATAGAAAGTTCTAGAAGGTACATGCACTACTGAACAATAGATAGATAGAGACGGCCATGTAGACAGACACGTAACTGCTTAGTCACTACATCACATTAACACGGGGCACGAACTTTTTCCTCAACCTAATATTTAACAGAATAAAATGTATTAAACAAATTATTAAATAACGATCCTAAAATTATTTATAAAATCAGCGAAGATGCTCGACAAAACAAAAAGTTTTAAATCATTTGAAAAAAGAAATGAAAATCTTTGATCTCGTTTTCTAATTAACAGTAACTGACATTGATGAGTCATAGAAAAGTTTTCAACATGTAGAACAAATCTATCGAGCTCAGAGTTTTCAAAATAATTATGATAGACTATTAAAAATATTGACTAATTTTTTCGTTTGAAAATTGGAATATATTTTTTTCTCAAATTCGATAGTATTGGTAAAAATATGGTTTTCTTTATGAAAACTATAATATAAATGTGAAAATATCATCCAGTTTCAGTTGTATATTTTTGAAAAATAGTAGCGCAATTAAATATTACTGAATTAGTAGTAAATTTAATAGTATAACTTACTCTGCCAGAATAAATTCTTTAATCATTTTTTTTTGTTAGAAACATTATATTTTTAGAATAACTATTTTTTATCGATGCAGTCAACATCATTTATGAATTGAATATATAATTGTTATATCATTAATTATTCTTATTAGAACTATATTATTCACTATCAAATATTTTTCTCAGAAAATACAATTTTGAATACAGAAACATAGATTAGAGAAATTTCATCTATTAAATCAAATAAAACAATTTTAGTAATTGATGATGGATCTATATAAATATTATAACTTAGTATAAATTATTTACAAAGTAAAATTTTTTTATAAGAAAAACATAACATTAACTCATAAATTTTCACTCATAGGAGTTTGCAGAAGCTTATACAATCCGCATTCAAATATTTTCTGGTTCAGCTATTCGCAGTACTACTCGTTCTTGTTCTAAAATAATTCATATATCTCAATAGAGTTTGCACATATAACTTTAAAACATCATAATAAAATTTGGTGTATAATATAAACATATTAATTAGTTGGAGCAGGGATGAATCTTGCTAGTAGAGAAAAAAAATTATCTAAGATATGCTGACAGTATTTGATTGTATTTGAAACTTTATCATTTTTTACCATAAGCCGATTCGTTGTACTCTTCGAACGAGATAGAACCAGAGCAGTATAGCATAAAAAAAAAGTTTTGAAATTTATTTAAATCGAAAATAACTTAAAACTCCATCATACGAAGTATTGATGAATCAAATATCATCACCCATTAAAATGGTTACGATTTTCTCGCTTCAACTTGTTTCTCTTAAGAAGCAATAAGGTTTTTTTTGAATAAAAACGTATTTCTCTTTGAAACAACAATTTTTTATTATTTTTTTCTTTATTTTTTTTGTCCACAATATTGTTAACATCAAATGAAAACAACCATACTAACTCGGATACCTATATTTCACATACAACTTGTTCAAAAAAATTCGTCATGTTACTTAATGCCTTCTCTAAAGTGAAATTAAATGATAATTTCACCAAAATAAGTCATTTTGTTCAAGAAATGTATCGTTTGCAACGAATATCACATTTCTTCATACATGCGAGACTCACTACGAAATTAACCATGAGAAAACAAGAGAACAACTATTTGCAGAAGTATTTTCACGTTAAAAATAAATTGCTGAAAAATTATTTCATAATAATAAAGGCAAAAGCATAAAAAATAGTTTGTATTTACTTCAATCTTAAGCAAACCGAAAGAAATTGAGAAACTTAGATCATGTCCATTTTACTGTAAACAGTCGAACATTGGCACACTTTCAACTCAAATAAAAATATTGTTTTTCGTTTTTGCTGTATTCCAAAGGTTTTCTTTTGAATTAATACATCGGTGAAAAAGTAGTTGATGCATTCTATACATATGGTTAATAAAATTTCAATCCATTTTTTCCTATTTAATCCAACTCATTCTATATTCATTTGTGGTCTTTATTTTTATTTAAAAAAAGATTAGTGGATTGATTTCTTTAATTTAATCATTTTGTCTAGAATTTTTCTGTGGAGGCAACGATTAACATCAAGACATATTTCTTTACTGCATTATGTAGACACAAATTTCTATTTCATTTTGAAAATTGTATTTCTTTTATTGACTTTACCTATGTAAGTATTTCCATAGACCTTTTTTTTATCAATTTATTCGAAAAAAATAAAAAATTTAATCTTCCTAAAAATCGACCAGAGAAAAAAGAGATTAATTGTTTCTATTTCAATACAAAATTCACAAGACTGCTGCATTCTTAATAACTATAAATTCTATTATGTTCCGTTACGGATAAACGCAAACATAAAAACACTTTTTTTTAATAGCACTTACTTAAATTTTTTATTGTTTTTCTTTCTATTTTATTTTTGATATGATTCAAAGCTAATTTCAATAGAATATTGATTCTAATAGTAGTATTAAATATGTTGAAGTTTATCTGATGACTTTCTTTTATATTGTTCAATGAAAAAATCTAAATAATTATACAATCAATAATGCAACTAATTTTTAAATACATGCGAATCATTGAGTATTATTGAATTCATTTATCAAAAGTAATACTTTTCATTTAACATTGAATAATTATACTATGGTAAAGATAGAACCAAATTTATAACAAAAAATTCATATTCATGAGCGCCAGTACTTAATTGAATACGTATAGATTGGTCGATTTGTTGTGTGTTAGTACCTGCTCGTTTTTTACTTTCATCTTGACATAATCAATTAAATTCGATTATTTCATCTATAAATTATGATTATTTTAAACCCTTCGTAATATGTAAACATATATTTTGAATTTATGTGAAACACATCGTACATTAGAATCTATTAATCTACTAGCAAGTGAAAAAGTTAAAGTAAAAACATATTCATTTTAATCATTGCCTTCATATAGTTTCTGATTTTAGGAAATCAAATAATATGTCTGATCTGGCAAGAAATGATTCTGGTAAACATCTTACGATTACTAATAAGGTTTTATATTAGTCAGTCTTCGTTTTACATATATAATTTGACACAAATCACCCGTATTTCATATTTCGACCATCTAGCTATTATAAAAAAATAATATTTTTAAGAAGCCATCCACATCATTCTTTTTTATTCATAATGATATAAAACGTATTAAATAATTTGTATTATAACCTAATTTTAGTTTCACTCAATAAACGTGTATCTTACATCAATTCTACGCATGGTAACCGTCAACTACTATTCAATGGAGCTAGATTTTGTGTTAAACAGAAGAATTTAAATTCAACTTTAGGGAGATGTACTAAAATTAACTGTCCTGCAAGTATCACGACTTCTAATAATGATATTATCTTAAGAACAAATGAAATACATAATCATCTTATCGAAACAAATGATATAAAAATTTTAGAACTTCGACATAAATTAAAAAAAGAAGTAGAAACTACATCAGTACCGATTGATAAAATTGTTGAATCAGCATATTCAGTTATGATCACAGAAGAACGAAAAACTGATTCAGTTTCAAAATTTCCTACTATTAAAACATTAAAAAATCCTGCTAGTAAACAGCGTCGAAAAATTAGACCTCCACTGCCAAAACATATCGAAGATATACCATTTCCATTTCCAACATTATGTACATTAACTAAACATAATACAAATTTTCTTTTATTCGACGGACAACTAGGAGAAACAAGAGGTCTAATATTTGCATCTCAGGATGATATTCGATACTTGGCAAACCAGAAATTTTGGTATGCTGATGGAACATTCTATACTTCTCCATCAGTATTCTACCAAATTTATAGCATTCATGCTTATGATGAAGGGCTGTCAACTCCATGTGTATTCGCACTTATTGCAGATAAAAAAGAAGAAACATATCAAGATTTCTTTTTAGTACTGAAGAAAAAAATTATCGAAACATCCAATATGATTCGACTTGAATCAATTACCATTGATTTTGAAGCAGCTGTTAAAAATGTATTTTATAAAAATTTTCCATGTGTTCAAGTAAGAAAAAAAAATTTCAGATTTCACAAATTTTCAAAAATGAAAAGTTAGT